GCCAGAGCAGCTCAGAAAGCGGTGCTGTTGCAAAGGCCTGAGGCAGGGCCTCCTCTAGGCGTCCCGTTTGTCTTGGCCCAACATTCCCAGCCTCTCCGAGCGCCCCTGTGGTCGGCCTGTGGGTGTGGAGGCAGACGGTCACATTCCCTCCTGCCCATGGACAGAAGCATCCTGCACCGCTCCCTCAGTTCCTTCCCAGCTCTCAATCAGCAATGTCCGGGGGTAAAACAGCCCTGACCAAGACACAAAAGTTACAGAATGTGACCAACAAGCCAATAATCACAATTCAGCCCTGCATCTGTTACCCTTTTCAAGATAAGACCCAATCAATCAACCCAGCAGCTCCTATCATGTTTTTACAGACCCATTGTTTTCTTTGCAGCTGGAAGGGCGGCTCCTGACAAACGATTACACACATGCACACCAGCCCTTCAATTTCTAAATTAGCTGAGTGCAATATTTAATAAAATAGTTTGCTCTGTGGAGATGAGACGAGTGATAAAATATTTACTTTACCTCTGAAACCATTATTTCTTTTAAGCTGTTGAATCTTAAAAACCTAGATCAAATTTGACCAGCTTAGGTGTGTTATGTGCACATCGTCTGCCAATGTAGCAGCAATCTAAACCATCTCTCCCGTTTCATAAGAAGCACCTGTGTTTGGAGACTTAACATTCCACATACTTATCTGACCAAAAAAAGGCCTTTGTGCATAGCACACATGTACTGAATAAACTGTGCTGGACCATGGAGGTACACACTCGCCAGAGGAGTTATAAAATGTCTCAACTGGTGTACCTACTCCTACAGGTAATTCAACTGCATTTGAGAAACATGTTTACTAAAATGCGAGACAGCTCAAATTAACTGTTTCCTGTGATTTTCTGTATCATATAATCAGAATGTGCTGTAAAATGCAACTTCCCACTCACTGTTGCAATTTTCCTACATAGTTTGCTTGTTGTGACAACTGCAAACTGTAAACGACAAGCCTCGGGCACCGAGCGCTGCTGAAAACAAAACTCGAGACTCTCGCCCCCCTCCCTCTTTCCCATGTTCTCCTCTGCCTAGACAGACAGAAACACCACACACACACACACATATATATACATTCGAGTACAAACTCCAGCCACTGCTTGACCCGTTAGGGGGACCCAAACAAACATCCGCTCCCCCTGAAAACCACAGTCTGGATTTATTTGTCTGTTCTCCAGAGGAATGGTCACTAAAGAAAACATGAAGTTGAATGCGTCCCGGCTGTTGACTTGCATGTCACTGAACCTACCTGCTCATTCTTAGTCCGGTGCTTTAGTGTAACTAATCAATGGGTGGAGCGTTGACCTTTCCCCGGAGTCGTAACTTGAGCTCATGAGGCCACGATAAAGCCAGCAGGGGTAAGCTAGCAAGGTGGCATCCTTTGATGAGTGATAGTCTCAAAATGAAAGGTTTGAATGGACGAGCAGGAGGAGGGCTGAAAGCCACAAGGACCCACATTGGGCACATAAATCACAGTCGGGATTGTGACCCTATTTTTAGCCAGTTATCCATCTATCTGCCTAATTGTCCCTGCCTGTCCACTGTCCTGGCTTCTCCCTGAGAGGAAAAGAGAAAAAGAAGATGAATCTAGATTACTTATGTCTGTGTTTTCCTCTCTTTCACTCTCACTCTGTCTATATTTTGCCACACACACACGCAAGCACAGGTGTTCATCACTAATGATACCAGGATATTATTAGTCCCAGGCCTTCGTAGGGGATCCAAGTTTGCATAGTGTTCAGTCCCTGTTGGGTTGTTTTTAAAGCCTGCAGAACAAGGCCCCTCTGTGGTGCTGCTCATGTCAAAGTGTTTAAACTAGCAAGAAAGACCCTTTTCTCCCGCCCCGATTTGAGGTTTTTTTTTCACAGCCTGAGACTTTTTTTCCTCTCACATTATTGCCACTGTAAAGCACACCAACACAATGCTCTCCCACTTAGTCTCTCGCTTTTTCACAAACACACTCAGAGACGGGCGCACACACCCCACTCAATCATCCACACACAAATGTAGACGCGCATGCCCCCACCCTCCCTCTTATCCACAGTGTATATAAAAGCTGTATCGAATTGCACCTTGAGCTTAATTGGCTCGGCAGTACAGTGCACCGCTGTCGACAGTGACAAATCGCTCTTTCAGAGCCCTGAAGAATGTCTGCCCACTGCTATGTCAGAGAGGACATAGGAGGAGAAAAAAAGTTAATTGTCCCCTGGCCGCCGTTCAAATGGTGTCGTAACTGCAAAGAAATTCATAGGAGATGCCGTTTGGAGCTTCGGAGGTTTATTTATTTGCCTTGGCACCAGGAGTTCAGGAGGAAGGGCCCAGTTCTCTGTGTTTCTACTCAAGAGAGCAGGCCAAAGTTTTAGTCGGACTCCTGACTGCTCTCTCTGATCACACAGTGGTTCAGATCCGCCACTTCCTCCCATTCGATCTCTCCCACTGGGGAGAACAGTACACAGATCAGATGAGACAGCTAATTGAATTTGGAGCTATCGGTTATTTTAGGAGCGCAGATGTGACACTGTGTGTGTGTGTGTGTGTGTGTGTGTGAAAGTGAGTGTATGTGTGCACAGACACCAAACTGTGTGAGGGAGCGGTATGTCAGTAATGCACCAGTGTGTCTGCGCGCGTGTGTTTGGAGAGATGCTCTGCATTCGGCCTGACAGGGGACAGCTCAGCTCATAGTTGGCGTTCCTAACCATAGAGCTGCTTTATTACTGATATCCTCCTGCCCTGTCTCATAACTCAGCTTTCTTATTTCAGTCTCCCTCACAGCTTTCTGCCAGACAAAGCAGCACAGAGTATGTCTCACACACACACACAGACACACACAGGGAGGAAGAGCTCTGCTCAGCGTCAGTAGGAGAACAGCTGTGGATGCAGAGCAGTAAGACAGCAGTAAGAGCAGAGCAGCAGGTGACCATGAAGTCACTGCAGCGTACAGAACAGATGGAGAAGAAGGGAGGAAAACAGTAAAATATGGGAGTGACTGAGGAGTAATTTAGGATTGACATGGAAAACTGAAGAATTTATTACTTTTTTTACTTTTGTTTTTCTAACCAAGGCCTTCTATGCTCCTATTCAGCAAACCCTCTGCCTTATATCTACAGAGTGGAAAACACTGACAACTGGGAGTTTCCCAGTCAAACCACAGTCTACAGTTAACTGAACAGCCTCATAGGAGGCATCTTTATAGTAGTTGTGAAGGGAGAAGTGAAAGTTAAGGACGATAGGCTGGTTGCAGTGGACGAGCTCACTGGTGGTATAAAGAGCAATGTAATTTTATCCACGCTGTCCCTGAAGTCATTTAACTATTTCCTCAAAGTCCCAGAGAACCTCACCGCAGACACACGACTGTGTATGATTAATGACACAGTGGAAACAAAAGTGCAATACACCAAAATAAATAATAGCTGCATGTGAATTCAGTGCCTCCTGACAGTATTGCCGCAGGACAGTCAGTGTTAAGCTAACCTCTCTGCACACAGCATGTTTTTATTTTATGTAAAAGGGAATTTCAGAAATTTGGAAGGGTTATATTCAATCTACAAAGTATTTTAAAAAAAAAAATATTACAAAAAACTATTAAACTATTTTATCAACTCTAAGGGACATATTTTTGTACTCAGAAAAATCAGTTCTACTTGGGGATTCACTTTACTTTTTGGGTATTAAGTACAAATACTCAACATCACTAATTAACAAGTTACATCTTGATTGTTTAATCAGTACACAAACTAAAATGTAAAAACAGCTAAACGTGATTTAACAGGAAAGTTTTATGCTGTTTGCCAAGAAGTTACAGCACCTAACTTCATGTTAAACCACAATGTGTTTGTGCACGGATAAACAAACAACACACGGTGTGTTAATTTGCTTTAGAGTCATTGGGCAGAGCCAGAGCTAACTGTTTCCCCATGCTTCCAGTCCTTGTGCTAAGCTAAGCTAATCAGCTCCTGACTCTAGTTCCAAAGTCAAAGCACATTAGTGATATTTATCTTTTCACCAAACTCTTAGCAAGAAAGCAAAAAAGCCTATTTCCCAAATTTTTCCTTCAAAATGCAGAAGACAGAGTTTTCAACAGGTGGAAAAAATATAATAACAAGCAAAATAAGCTAGATTTCACATTTGGAATCACAGTGCCTGTGGCTGCTATTGTCGGTCACATCAGAATCAGAATCAGAAGGAGCTTTATTGCCAAGTGTAGTGTTTTACACATACTTTGGTGATACGGTGCTACACATAGACAAACATACAGTTGACATAAATAAATGTAGAAATATACAAATATGGAATAAACAAATGCAAGTTAAGAATAAAAAAGAATAGAGAAAAATAACACCGCTATTTGCAGAGAAAGAACAACATAGCAGATATTCACATGTGCATTACTCCGGTTCATGTTGTGCAGACATATTAGCATTAAGAGAATATTGCGTAGGCCTACATAAATATATAAATTGACAAAATATAAAAATATAGAAGTTATGTGGACTTTTTGGGACTACTTTAATGAACCAACTAAGTTTTTTTTAAAACAGTGATATTCTATCACAGATAAGTCATATGTCAGTCAAATTGGTTGTGTGTTTCAGATTTTGAGACATGACCTCACACAGCCTCTGTGGTTTTTATTTTTATTTTTTGTTTTCAACCTCTCACCACTTAAATCCACATTTCAACACTCACTCTCAGTAAAATATGTTTTCAGCATGTGTCTACAACAATAACATGTGACATCTGGTTATATGTGGAGCTTGTGTTTCTCGTTCTCCCAATGTAACACTGTTTTTACAGCTGTGTAAGACATCGTGCAAAAAAAGAGGACAGACATACCACACATGTTTTTCAGCTTTTGTGACAGTGTTAGTTCTAACTGTCTCCGTTCTTTTCCCTGCCTCTCTCATATTTTTCATTCTTTGCCTCCTTTCGCCCTCTCCCATCCATCTCCTCCATGTCCTTCTCAGACCTTGCTGATAACCTGGCAATGGATGACTTCACCTTCCAGGAGCAGCTGCTGACCCCTCGCTTGGCCACAGCCGGGATCGGAGGTGTCTCCTCACCTGCGGCTCCGCTGTGGAGGAGCTACCTGGTCCCGACGCTCCCTGCGGCGCTTGCTCTGCTCCTGCTTTTTCGCCAATGACCAGTGCACTCACACACACTCCCATCACCTCTTTCCCCTAGGATTCAGTACAAACTCTGTGAAATGGGACTTACTGTTTTAAAAGCTCCGGTTCCCAATTTGAAGTTCAGCGGCTCGTCGAAGTAAGCGTGAGCAACAACAACAAAAAACTGTCTCAGTAAGACCCTGTTTTGTTTTATTCAAAATCACTGGATGTCGTCAACAAACCTATTAAAGCACACCAGATAAACCCATGGCATGGTGTAAATAAAAAAGTTGCCCTCTGGTCCATTCCCACTATGGTTATTACAATGTTTGTGCCCCTTTGCCTCACCGCCTCTCTGCTTTCATATTGACTTCTGTATAATAACAAAGAGACGGGGGGCCTCATCATAAAGACAGCTTTGTCATGGATCTGCAAGTGAGGAGCTACGTGGAGAACAGACACACATCAGACGTTTTTGGTCCCACTCCCAGTCTGCAACAGGTTATTGCCCTGCAGAAACAAACTGGAAGAAGGAGCAAACGCTTGCTACTCTCCTCCACGGCAGTGAATAATCTCCTGGCCAGGACCGGACTTGACAGCTAGGGAGGTGTGAACAACTTATCCCCAGAGGTTAAACCCTTATTTTAAGATGCACTGTACCTTACAATGCTCTGTTACTACTTAAACCTCCCTCATTCTCTCTCATTATTTGTGTTCTAGTGATAGTTAAATTATTCCAAATGATTTACACTTCCACCATCACTGTTGACTTTATTACGTTACGCTGATGATTTTTTTCAACAGTAACAGCCCTACGATAATGATTCAAGGGCTATGATGAGAGCGCAAGTCTCCAAATCAGCCTGATAACTATACAGATGTATATTTCTCTGTGTTGGTGCCATGTTTACAAAAATGTGTTTATTTAAAATATTGGCATATTTCACAATAAAATGTGGTTTGTGTATTGAATTAGTTGCTGGACCGTGAAGCATTGCTGCACATTTCTTGCTTATTCTTTAGCACTGTGGGTAAAGTTAGGAGTAATATGATATAAATATGTATAAAAATCTGGGGAAATTAATTTTGTAATGTTGGTTTGCAGTTGGGCTCACACATTCTTAATGTCTGGGCTTTGGATTTAATTATTTGTTCTTCCGAGTTTTGTTTAAACCAGAAGTCAGATTTTTTTTAATAGTTTTTTTAATTTTGGTTTGTTTTTCAAATTCAATGTGGTGAAAACTGGATTCCAACTCCCTTGTTTAGACTGAAGGATGTGTGATGGATGTTTGGAAAGACACTAATTTAAAGATGCCAGACAGCTGATTTCACCCAGCTGTGAGTGTAGACTGTAAACACACACCAGACTATCTATCCATCCATTCACCAATAGCTATACCTGATCCTTGCGGGTCACGGGAGCCAACGCCAGATGACAGTGGGTGAGACACCCTGGACAGGTCACCAGTCAATCACAGATGACATTCACACCTACAGGCAATTTACAGCTAACCTGCATGTCTTTGGACTGTAGGAGGAAGCCGGAGCACCCGGAGGAAACCGACGCAGGTGCAGGGAGAACGTGCAGACTCCACACAGAAAGGCCAGAGCAGGTGTCAGACTATTTGGAAAAGCACAGATGTAACTAATAACTAACTATGACTCTGTTGCATTTCAGTGTGCCAGTCATGTCAGTGAGCCAGCATGCAGGATACCAGGGGTCTGACATGGCAACACCTAAACAGAATGCAACCCTAATTAATGTTATTAGTTGCACCTGTGTTTGTCATGAAAAATGTCTGTGACTTGTCAAACAGTCAGGCAATGTCAGACCTGAGATCTGTAATATGTTGATTTTCTTTTTCTGTTAAATGTTGATGAGGAACATACAATGTATAATAAACTAAACATGTTTTACTGTTTTGTGTTTTTTAATGTGTGAATATAAACACATGAAAGACAAATGAGGTTTTCTTCTCTAATGTTTCGTAACAGTCAAGATGGGAGACATGAAGAAGGAAGAACGTGTCCGCCAGATATACTTTCTTACTATGTAATTAAACAGTGATTGAGAACATTTAAACCTTGATGCAGATTTGCTTTCGCTTTGTGCAAATTTGGATTTCAAACTTTATTTCTGAGATTTCATTTGATATTGAATGCAGTTTAAAGGTCATTTCCAACCTGTAAACTCCTCCCACAAGCCTAGCACATTACATTTAAAGAGCAACTCTACATTATCTTAATCTTAATTTTTTTTAAAAACACAGATAATGTGCCGAACTGTGCAGACGTTTAATCAGGTTTCACTGACAGTAGCGTGACAAGATGAGTAAACAACCCTACAACTGTCATCAGACTTAGATTCAAATATTGATGGTGCACAGTAGTATGTGACTTCACCTTCCTTCAATTCAAACAAGTGACAAGTGCACAGATAAAAACATGACTGACGACAACAGTGAAACACCCAATAATTTTAACCAACATAATACAAAAATTATTGCAACTACAGTTCCCATGAGCCTTAGCAAGTTGTCATTGCTAACAATTTATCTTTGCTAAAATGATTAAGCTAGCCTGCTGCTTAGCTTCAGTCATGAAAAAAAGCGGCAAGCTTAGATGAGATCAATGCAACTTTACAAGTTGTTTTACGCTGACTTAAAAAATGGCAACTTTTTAAATTGATATATTTTTTGATCCTTTTGAAAAATGACAAATGAACTGTCTGACAACAAGTTCCCTGGGGGTTGGGAAAAGTCATTCAGGGAAATGTAGGAAAGTCACTAACTCAGGTAGGAAAAGTCATGTCTGAAAAACCTTAGACGTCACATGTTTAGGTATTCAGGGTGGAATTTTCCTTTAAGAGCAAGGAAAAATAAGAGATAGAAAATGGATGGCATGCTGTGGAGGTTATGAAGAGGACACGCAATGTTGCAAGTATATATGTTACTTTATGTGCTTTTCACCCTCTGATCCACTTCAAAGCTCTTCATGAATCATAATTTACGTTTCTCTGGACTGTGCATGGGTGTCTGAATCCTCAAAGCAGCATGTGAATCATGTGTGTTTTCCTTTGGATCTGTATTTCTCACTCCCAGCTGATGATGAACCACTCTGGGCATAAGATCTCCTCTCAGCCCCTGGAACTGGGACTGGAAGTTTCTCTACACTGAACCCCATTAGTTTGACCCCTGGAGGCTCGAGCCGCCTTTACCAGGTAACAGACGCTCATCCACAGCTCAACAATCTAACGAGGTTCATTAGTCCTAATTGTCTAAAAGCCTGTCTACTTTCTTAACAAGGCCAATCACTCACAGCTCCACACATAACATGCCTGTCGCAGCAAACACACTTCAAAATCCTGTTTCTGTGTCCCGGCACTCTGCTGTAACTTTTCACACCCACGCACCCTCTGCTCCCCAGAGCCAGATAAAAACGCCATTGTTATCCAGCTGTGCTTTTCTCTCCTGAACTGGATTGCGGCTTTTAAGATGGAAAAGAGAGGCTGATTATTGGGAGATGAGCAAACGCTGGCTACAGAGAGAGCAGCAACTCACCCAGCACAGGGGGGGGGTATACTCTTAATGCTAATGCAAGGCTGGAGAAAAGGGCAAACAGGCCTATTGAAATGCAGAGTCCATGTGTTTTCTTAGGGTAATATTGGGGCAATGTTGAAACAGCCCGCATTATGAGAGTGAAAGGTCAATTTGATGTTTGTCAGCAGGAACAGTGAGAATAGCTGACTATCAGGAATTGTTGCATTTTCTGCCTGAATGATTGACTCCCTATGAATATGTATTTCAGCACTATTTCATGGTCGCACAAAGATGTTTGGGCTTGGCCACCTTTACGAGCCTGAGGGGTCATTGAACAGTGCATTTGAATTAAAATAACAATATAGTTCAGGTGCTTGAGTGTGTGCAGGCTCCCCCAGTCCAGTCCAATTTTTTACCAGGCTGGGTGTTGAAATTCCTCTGCCAGAGAGAAAAGCCTGAGACATGTCACGTCGTTCAAAGCTCATTCATGTCTAATTACCATGGCACTGGACCATTTTCTTACCTTTTGTTGGCCTATTGAGAGGAGCGCCTGGCCCACGCTCCCCCATACACACAGCTCCAGCATCCTCCTTTTGCTCCTCAGCAACCCCTGGCTTCCCCTGCAGCAGCCGCAGTCACACAGAATGAATGGAGCCGCCTGAGGAATGTGAACACAAAAGGAGGAATGTCATTTTGCTGGGTGCTACCCCCCAAACCAATGGACGTGTGCACGCACACAACACACACACACATACACACAGAAGCATCCCACAAGTCCAGGCATGTTTAAACGCAGGGGGTAAAAAGTCCTATTATGACTTCTTTTTTTAATTAGGGGATTTGCATACAAGACTGGCTGCAACATTTGAGCACGAGCAACATCTATACCTATATCCCATATTTGAGACTTTTTTAGATAAAAAACACCGAAACCTCTTTATTTTCAGATTTAAAATGACGTATTATGGTTGAAGAGAGGAAAACATGGAGTTGGCTGTGGTGTGATTTTAAAGGCTGACAAGTTACCTTTTTAACATTCCATTGATTTAACTGATTGTCTTATCAGTGAAAAACAAACTGAAATAGCCTTTTTTTCAACCAATGTTACAAGAAGGAACAAGTTGCAAGGAGGGGAAAGGTCAAGCGGCACGACAGCAGACGGAACAAACTGCTCCTGAGAACAGAAACAAGAAAACACTGGTGCAAAAGTACGAAAGAAATGTGAGTGAAGGGGAGAAGAGATATTCTTAGCAAGAAGACCACGGACGAGGATGTGGTGGATTTTAAGTATCTGTTGAACAGATGACATTTTGAAAAGCTGCTATAAAGTTTTTCCACATGGAGGAACAACATATACTCACATGTCAGGACACTCACAGATTACTTAACCTTTTCAGACACATTTAGGATAACATTATTTAGCTTGAATGTTAACTTGATGTGTTTGAACGCAGCGAGACGCTCACGTGTGTTGGAAAACGAATGTATTTTCCTTTATTTCCCAGCAATCTTCCTGTTCAGTTGTTTATTTTAAAAGCCTAATCTAAAACTGCTTTTAAAGTTTCACAAATCTCCCAATCACTTCTGTCATCCCCGTCCACCATGCTTTCAGCCGACTGTTTACTGTAGTTTACAACACTGGCTGCACTGTATGAGAGGCAGCTGCATATTAGTAACACAACTGCCCCGTTGCTAACAGCACTCGGGCCGACCTGTGTTTGTGTAAGGAACAGGCCTGTAATTTTGGCTCCATGGTTACTGCAACACTAGGCAGGTTTTAATCCAAGGCTTTTAAACAAACTGAGATGTATTGGATTATAAAGGCTGAAGAAAAATAACACTTTTGAAGAAAATATGTCTTCAATCTCATGGGCTTTCTTGTTATGTAAATTGCTGTCATGTAATATAAAAGCATTTGGAAAACAGTTTGTCAAATAAATAATGCCATAACATAATGATCTGTATTTATTTCTACATTTCTCATCACGGACAACCTTCAGTTACAAAACTAAGTGGTTTTCAACATAGGGGTTTTGGGGGGCCCTAATGGTCCCTGGGTTGTTTCCAGGGAGGGGCCCACAGCAAAAAAAGAGAAAACACTTTATCTTCATTAACTATTTCATTATTGTACGTTAGGACAGTGAGAGAAACATGAGGGAAGCCTGTTTAGTTCAAAGGGTTTTATCTCCGCTGTTATCGCCACACTGACAGTAAAAGCAGATAAGAAAGCCCTCTAAAACACAGGTCAGGTGGGGGTCTGCAATAAAAGACATTTGTGATTCTGAGGACTTCTAGTTGTCTAGTCTTTTCTTTCCTTATGTCATGTGGATCAATAAGTTTAACATAATAATGTAACATAAGTGTTCCTGTAATGCCAGCTCCACCCTCAGCTCCAGTCCTGATTTTCAATACTGGTTACACAAGTTTAGACCATAGACTAGACATTATAGCGAGAGAGCCAGCGTTGGAAGTCCCTGCTCCATGCTCCACCCCTGGTGTTCCTGTTCTCCAGGTCTTTGTCCCCCGGAACTTGCGCTCACTCCTGGGTGTCCGCTAGGGTTTTGTGCTCGCATCTGGATCCCACTACGACCAGCATACAGTCCAGTGTCCTGTCCTACAGAAACCACGGCCTCCTCAAGTTTGGAAAGAAAGAAGAAAAGCACCTTCCCGGCAACTTTCCACCGTCTGCTCTCCTCCCGTGGTTTATACTTCCGTCGAAGCTGTGCAGCAGAAGTGTGATTTTGAGATTCTTGCCTGCACTTTAAAAAGTTTTTACATGTTTTAAAACAGTTTTTTTGGTCGCTTCATCGTGTTTTTTTTATATTTTGGTCGCTTGAGTCTGGGACTCGACCTTTATCACACACCTCCGCGCTTTGAAACGGACGACGTTTGAGCAGCGTTTAAGGCTATTTTCGGTGTCTTATTTTCCTCCCTCGAAGTTGTATCAGAGGTGGCCCCAGAGCTGCTGCTGCTGCTGCTGCTGCTGTGAATGAAGTATCTGTTGAGCTGAAGAAGTCAGCGCGTCTCCATGAGGAAACTCAACGTGGGAGTCGCTGAAACGTTGTCCTAGCTTAACGTTACACGCACACACCTGGGCGACTATATTTCCCTCTTTTTGTGCAGGTATCGCTGTGGGTTCTTGTTTTTTACCGACACAAAATGAAGACGCTGCTGGTGCTCTGTGTAGTCTGCATGCTGGCCGTGTTGTCTGTGTCGGGCACTGCGGAGCAGAAGTTGAAAAACTGCAACGAAGTCCGCGACGCTTACAGCTCCAAGGGCTTCAACGTGAACGATGTCCCCAACAAAGGAGTCAACGGTGAGTTTTATTATTTAGGCTTTTAGGCCCGTTTTAACCTCAACTACTCTAGTCCAAAGCAGTGG